ATTCTGCAGCCATTAAAATTAACCAGTGTTAATTAATTACAGCATGCGTTTTTATGGGTGGGTATTCATGCACCCTCTGGGTGCCAAGTGTCAGTGTTTCTGTTTTATTTTTATGTATGCGTATTCAAATGTGTAAATTATTTTTTTGTATATAAAAGTGACCTTGGTATGGGAATACTTGAAAGATATTTACTGTATTTTTAAGCGAGTTCAAAAAACGATAAGATTCTCTATTTCACTTTTATGGTTTTGTTATGTATGCTCACCAAATTCTCGGAGACGGTTGAATCGATTAAAGTTTCTTTTTATTTCTGTAATAAATTATATACTTCAAACTTCGTTTATACCTACTTCAGGTGTGGCTTCATATAAATTTAATAAAAATCCCATCCCATCCATCCATCCAGCGGAAAATAGGGGATAAAGGTTTACCGTTATCGTTATAGCCACAGAAATCGTAATAATAAGACAATATTATGACTATTTCTGTGGTTACAGCCCATTAAATTCCGCTGCTGAATAGGGCCTGCCTCGTATGGGGGTATTTGCCATAGTTGCCACGATTGGCAAGCGAGTTGGCAACCGCAGTTTTTTAGTTTTAGTCTTTATTAGAAAAACCCTGCTGCTCATCTCGTGATTTGTTTCCCTCCGTCTCCTCGATACTATATACGATATGGGGTAGTGGATATTCATGCACCATCACGGTAAAGGGATGAAGATTTTATTATACCTATTTAAATGATATTCCCAACCTGTTATATTTCTACGCAAGAATTAAAGAAATTTTGTGGGGACTACAGTCACCGTGGACGCTGGAGTGGCATTGGAAAGGGTAAAATAATTAAACTTACAATTAATGAAAAGTAAAAACCGAATTCAGAAAACTAAAAAATAAAATAAAAATATTCCACATTATAATCATTCATTCGACTTTATTTTACTTTCTCATTCATCCTAACACTGCTTCAGCACCGACTTCAGAAGCTATAATGTGGATTTTTTTTAAGTTTTTGAAGTCGCGTTTTAACTTTTTTATGAATTCCATTAAGGTTATTAGTAGTAAACAGAAAGTTTGTGATTGTATCAATATTTTCGCATCCTTATTATTCATGTTTTTAGTTTATCACTACATATTTACTTCATTATTCAATCAATTGCGCCTCAGCCGTTTATTGAGGTGTACGCCTAATAGATTTGAACTTGATATGATTATTTTCTTTGATTATATTTATATTTCTTTGATAATAGTTCTCATGCTAAAGATATATCGGTTATGCTCGGAAGTAAAACATTTTAAGGGACCTTGTAAACAAAATGTAGCGACGAGAAAAAATGTTTCCAACAACATCGTATTTATTAGACTAAGTTGTTTCGGTACGTGGAAACCGTGAACACTAAGCGAAATTCGATCACAACTTCGTCTAGTTCGTCAGCTTTCTCTTAAACTTGGTCACAGAATAAATAATACTGACGTAACTCTGCTAATTTTATAGTGCTTAGACATCTTTTTTTAAACTTTCTAAAATTATTGACTGATTAAAGTGTCAGATCTAATGAGACCCGATGCAATCGATCAACCCCAAAAAAATTTGCTCATCACAAATTTAAATTTTAAATTATTACGGAGTCAAAAAATTGATCTATCTAGGTCTAATTTCTGGGGGAATTCGTTTTCTCAGTGTTTTCATGCCTAAAGTTACAAACGTAAAAAATTTGGTAATTTTGTCTTAGAAATTATCGTAACAATTGCTTCAGTGCGTGAGTATTTTTGTTCTTCAATATTCTAACTTCTCTCGCCCTACATGTGGGCAAAAATATGTTATTATTATGCCCAAATACTCAACCGCTTCTCAGTTTTAAAATGCCGTTAAGTCTTGTGCTGTCTCTGTAGACATCATCTTAAATGAGTGAATATAAACCATTAAATGTTTTTTTTTCGGAGCTACGTACATAAGTGTTACTCATAGGGATTTCTTATATTTATGCAAGTGTAACACATTAAATTAAACTGAACTATACGTGGTAGCGCCATGCTGCAGGCTGCAGCTATATTAGTAGTGTAGTTGTAGCACCAATTGGTCTGCTCGACCGGGGAAGGACCACGCTCTCACAGAATACCAGCGTAAAATAGCAGCTCAATGCTGCTGTGTTTCGTATGGTGAGTGTAGAGAACCGAAGACCCCTTTTACTGGAAATGAGGGATTCCATATTAGTCCTCACGGATGACAACTCATCTGTATTTTAATTCGTAATCGAGGATAGATGTAGATGTCTATGGGCCACAGCAACCACTAGGTGGAAGTATGTGCTGTGTGCTCGTTTGTCACCCTATCCTATATTAAAAAAAAACTTTTACGAAATATATTACATATTTTAATTCTCGATGATTCGGGTTCTTTAGAGCACCCATGGTCACGCAGTCTGTGAACATGTTCAAGATCGTCCCCGGAGATCTCCGAAAATAATTATTTCCTAGGATAGTCAACGATTATAACGGGCTGCAAAACAATTTAAGCATCAGAAAAAATATCGATATAAAATGTAGATGTAATATGTATCTCGACATAAGACTGATATCAATAATCGATGTTATTGAATATTTTTATCGATATACATATATGTATCAATATTTTGTGTATTAAGGAAAATTACCTAAGCACACTTGATGAAACTTCTAGTTATCAAAGAACTATTAAATCTGTCATTATAGGGTATCAATCGATTTAAAAATAGTAATTTACTCAGCCTTTTGCCATGAAGTCTATTTCTGGTCTGCGTGACCATAGCTTTTGAAAAAAAAAAGGTAGGCACCGATGAAACAACCACAGGCATGTGATTCATGGCAATTTTGAAAAGGTTAGGATATTTATTTCGTGCTTAGCTTGTCTGTAATTTAATCGTGTCGATAATAGTATTGCTAATATCGATAATATCGTAAAGGCAATGTTATAATAAATATCGATATTTAAGCTTCGGTATTATAAGTCGATGGATATAATATCGTTGCAACCGTAATCCTATACCTTTAAACGAGCAATTCTTATATATATATATATATATATATATATATATATATATATATATATATATATATATATATATATAATCGGAATCTCGGAAACGGCTCCAACGATTTTGATAAAATTTAGTGTCCAGGGAGTTTCGGGGGCAATAAATCGATCTAGCTAGGATTTATTTTTAGAAAATGTCCTTTTGTCCGTGTTTTCAGGCAATAAAAAAACTGCTATAATGTAAGAAGGTGAATTTTGACAGATCACTAGCGATCGTAATAGCTCAGGTGGGATGTCGGTCGGGCGTGATATCTGAGTTCCGTGGTTCGCGTCCTGTTTCTGGTCCGGCTTTTTTCCTTTTTTTTCAAGTTCCCTTCTTTTGTGAGAAAATCTATTATTTCAAGCCCTTTTTTTAGTATTTTTAAAAATACGAAAATTTTAATAAAACTAATTGCACTCATGATTTTTTATTCATATAACCAGTTCAGTTTTTTCTATTCTGTCAATAAGATCAAAAATATTATTTATGTTTCATCAGTATGTAATTTATAAACGTAATTTCAAAAAAAAAAGAAGCAAAAAGCAAAGAGCAAAGCTCCGGTCATCCGGGTACTTAGAAGTAAGGCGTTAAATGTTTTCATTGCACGGTTAGACAAAAGAAGATTTAAGGAAATATTATTGTAATACAATGTTATACTTTATGGTATTTAAAAATAATTATAAACTGAAATCAATTTATATTTTTGTCAGACAAATGTTATGTAGGTATGTAAAATTATATTAAATGTTTTCAAAGGAAAGGAACCTATCTGTTCATTGATATTATGATCTACGACACAAAATAAATTAACAATTTATTTTCTCTGCATAATCCTTTTAGAAGCAGCGATACCTTACTGCGTCTGCTTTTATAGTAATCACTTTACTTTTATACTACAGATTCGTACGTTAATAGCCAAACCCTCCATAATGAAAAGATCCCATGCCAGGTAGAGTTTTGTTAATGGGTTAAAGTCACGGAGCAATTAAGGTTGTGAAAAAAAGAAGATCAAATTTAATACCGTGTGGTGTGTGGTCAGAGTACTTAGCCCACGAAATCGTAAGATCTAGGTTCAAGTTTCAACTGCAGCAAACTTTTGTGAAAATCACACCTTGTCTATATTTGTACCTGAATATTGTGCGATTGTTCCCTTACATGACACTGCATCTTAACTGGTTGTCCATCTTTCCGCATAAGCGGTTCGGTGTATTAGGTTAATAAATAGTGAGAGCTTTTAAAATCAAAATACAAGCAAAAAGGTAGCGATTACAGTAGTCGAACTTATCATCACTGACTTATCATCAAAATCGCCAACATCATTATAACCTATCAAAGTCCGCTGCTGAATGTAGGCCGCCCCATAGCTTACCTCACTAAGGGAATATTTGCCATAGTTGCCACGACTGGCAGGCACGTTGGAAACCGCAGTTTTTTGTAGTCTTTAGGAAATTACTGCTATCCATCGCCTGATTTGTTTCCCTTCTTCGTAGTAGTAAATAATGACCACATTATACTTGAAAAACCAGATGCATTAAATCATGATATAATACCCAATAGCTGAAGTGACAATTGTCTGGCTATATGCGATTACTGGAAGAACCGACCACCGGTGGGGAAAGATAGGTTCTCGAATGGCAGCTTCGTACCGGTAGGCGGAGTGTAGTATGCCCCTCCCCGGACTAGATGGGGAGACGACCTGGTTTAAACATGCAGGAAGTCGATGGATGCAGGTGGCTCAAAACCGTGCTTTGTGGCATTCCTTGCGGTAGGCCGATATTCAGCAGTGAACTTGTGAATGGAACGAATAATTGTGAAAAACGTATGTTGTATATGGAAAAAATAGTCTTTCTTGTAATAGCTTAGTAGATTCTGTTGGATTTCTTACTTTAATATGTTCTATATTTTTATATAAATAGCGAATGTCATACTAATTTTACTATCCTTTACAGAACAACACACTTGATCTTTACATCTCGCACCAAAGAGGTCCGTTCTATAAAGCTGAATTTCAAACGGAGTTGGACAGAAGGAAGTTCCATATAGCTGATGTGACAGACAAACGTATTTTCATTTCTGTTATGCACACAGAGAATCTAGCAAATTTGTACGTGTCCGAAATAAATAGTAATTTCACGCAGTACAACTTTGTGCTGAGCCTGGAACAGATTCTGTGCTATTTCCCACAAGGAAACTGGAAGGATAGCTGGCTCGAGTAAGTTTTTACTAAGATTTTGATGTTATAATATTTGCTGAAATATCATTTGGTGTATTGCACGCCTCATAAGCGAAGCGTTGAGGTTGTGCTCTACTCTCACTTAATGGAAATCCAGTAATTTTCTGAGCTAATTTACTATTACATGAGAAAAATCACTAGTTTTTATGTTTCTATTATTTTTAAAAGTATTTTTCTGTATTTTGTTTAAAAACGTACTGATTGAAAAAAAAATCGAAGGTGTCCGGATGTTTGTATGTGTGGATGGCGCACGATTACGGTCGTTAGAATTAATGTATCAAAATTAATTCTTTTTTTATTACGTTTAGAATCTTAACGCAAATGTTCCTTTTAAAAATCACTGAGTAATTTCGTCTCGTTTAATAATTGTAATTAATGAAAATGTAAAAAAAAAACAACTGGTACTTTTCTACATTCTCGTGGATCTCTTCTTTCATCTCAAATATGGAAAAAGAGATATTTTTCTTTTTATATAATCAAATGAGATTATGAGGCGTGCATTTTTGGATTTTCCAAACTTGCTTTTACTTTACGCATATAATTTATCTAAAATTAAGTATTGTCACAGCAAAGATCAAAGAGTTTTACTCGTAAGAAGATTATAGTTTAGGTGTCATGAACCACTCTTAACACTAGCACTGTAAGCTTACTAGGAGAGATTAAAGGGAATATTAGTAATTATAATAACATTGCTAGTAACTTTATTTTTAAAAGACGACTTGTGAAAGGTTTTAATGATTATGATATTGATGGTACACGTACATATGTTCCATGTGTATGTGTATGTAATACAATGCGTATACATGTGAAAGATTTTAATGATTATGATGGTACCCCAAGGTACACGCACTGGTTATACAACATTAGGTTATGAATTATTTACATATGTATTTCGAACTTCCATTTTCCGCTTCATTAAGTTTTAATCATCTTGTTGCTAATTCAATTGGGGTATGAGGTCAATGAAAGGTGAATTTGTCTATAAACTTCAAGATAATGTGATAACGTCGTTTTCATGAAATATCATATTAAGTCTATTCTTTTTAATATTATTTGTAAGGTTATAAGTAAAAGTAACAGTAAGCAGCATCTTCCTGATAAAAGTAACAAACCTTGCAGTTACCAACCCGCCCGCCAAACGTGGCAACTATGGCAATATACCTCCCATGAGCAACGACGCAAATAGACGGCCCCCAGACCATGGTAACGGCAGGGCAAGGGGTGCTAAGAATCTCCAGTGGAGGTTCAGTTGCCACCTAAAACGACTCAACCTGGCAAATTACAACGCACGCACCCTGAGGACTGACGAGAAGATCCTGAAGCTGGAAGAACACATAGACAAGTTGTCTTGGAATATTATAGGATTATCCGAGGTCCGAAGAGAGAGGGAGGATACGGTGATTCTCGAACCCGGCAACTCGTTTAAGGAGGATGATCAAGGGGTGGGATCAGTTTTATGATGATGAGGAGGTGGAGGCAATGCATGAGGATATTTCTAAAAGCATGCATTCCTTCAAAACCCACTATACGGTGTTAATGGGAGACTTCAACGCAAAGCTAGGCACAAGAAAAATCGGTGAGCTGAAGGTAGGGAAATTGTGGATAGGGCAACGGTACCCAAGGGGCCAGCAGCTGGCCGACTTCATGGAGAAAGAGGGACTTTTTATGATGAACTCTTTCTTCCAGAAGCGGCCCCAAAGAAAGTGGACCTGGTCGAGCCCCGATGGTTCGACAAAAAACGAGATTGACTTCATTATGACGACCAGACGCCAACTGTTCAGTGATGTCTCAGTGATCGCAAGGGTGAAAACTGGCAGCGATCACCGAATGGTTAGAGACACACTGAACCTAAACGTTAAGTTGGAGAGGTCTCGTCTAATGAAGTCAACGCTCCGTCCCCCTCGTGCTCTAATCCAGAATACCGAAAAATTTCAGCTGGAGTTACAAAACCGTTTTCAGTGCCTAGAAGTTTGCAATGCAGTGGACAATATGAATGACAAGCTCGTGGAAACTGTCTATGCAGTCGGAGCTAATTTCTGCAAGACCCGCCGTAGAAGAACACAAAAATTCTTCGATCACACTCTTAATCTCATGGATGTTAGACAGATGAAGTTGCAGTCGTCAGCAGATTTGACAGCGTACAGGCAACTGAACAGACAGATCTCCAAATGCACGCGGCGGGACTTACGCAACTTCAATACAGCTCGTATCGAAGAAGCGATCGAGCGGAACAAGGGCTCCAAAGTCTTTGCCAGAGGTCTGTCTGTGAGAAAGAGCCAACTGTCCGGTAGCTGTTGGGATCACTAAGCTCGAAGTTGTTGACGAGTGAGTTTACCTGGAACAAATAGTCCGACTAGGTAAGTCCAACTTTGACCGAGAGGTTAATCGACGGATTCAACTCGGCTAGGAAGCGTTCGGGAAATTACAACACATCTTCTCGTCAGGTATACCTCAAAACCTAAAAGCGAGACTGTACAACCAGTGCGTGTTACCAGTGGTTACTTATGGATCTGAAACGTGGTCTTGCACTGCTGGCCGTATAAGGACACTCAAGGTCGCTCAGCGAGCTATGGAAAGGGCTATGCTCGGGGTTTCTCTGCGTGATAAACTTAGAAATGAGGATATCCGCAGTAAAACCAGAGTGACCGACATAGCCCAACGGATTAGTAAGTTGAAGTGGCATATAGCCATATAGCACGAAGAACCGACAACCGATGGGGAAGAATGGTTCTCACACTTCCACACTGGATGGAGTGACGACCTGGTAAGACATGAGGAAGTCGATAGATGCAGGTGGCTCAGGACCGTGCTTTGTGGCATTCCTTGGGGCTTGGGGGAGGGCTATGTTCAGCAGTGGACTCGTGAAGGACTGTAATGATGGTGGTGGTGATGATGAAAATTAGCCACAAAACACCTACCTATTCATTAGTTAGAATGATAATTTGTGGATAAATGTAAAATATTATCCATTAAACTCAATTTTCACTAAAATCCGAAAAAACCGGATTTGAATCTTAAAAACCGGATTTATAAAACTCTGGAAAATCCGGATTTTTCAGTTATTTTCGAATTTCGAAGAATCCGGATTGCAATTCATTAGGCTGGACCACGTTCTCACAAAAATACTAGCGTAAAATAGCAGCTTGATGCTGCTGTGTTTCGTATGGTGAGTGTAGAGAACCGGATACCCTTTTACCAGTAACGAGGCATTTCATCTTAGTCCTCAGGAGTGGCCACGCATTTGCATTCTGATTCTTAATCGAGGATATATGTAAATGTCTATGGGCTACAGCAATCACTTACCATCATGTGGACTGTGTGCTCGTTTTGCATATATATTCTATAAAAAAAGAATAGGGTATTAAAATATGATTCAGGTTTTTACTCGTACAAAATTCAGTACCCACCCTCAACCTACCTACCCTCAACTGAAAAATAGTTATTCGTGAAACTATTAAAGATTCAAATTTTTTTAGGGACGTAACAGAGGACGCGTTTACGGATTTGTACCGCGTAGAAGGCTTAAAGGGGATTTACATAGCGTCGAAAGTAAACTCTAAGTCGCTGGTTGCTAACATCGAACCAGAGCATTTGGTGTCGCTCATCACCTTCGACCATGGAGTCACGTGGTCTCCTATCAAACCTCCAGCAGAGGACGACAATGGTAAGATAAAAACGATTTAAACTTTCCAAATTCTATTTATAGATTCCTTAATTTCTAAAATATCCATACGTGAAGTCTTATCTAAGTTATAATAATACCAACAACCAATTAACGGTGGTAATCGGGGATAAATGTATAGTATACTAAAATGCTGCTATTTCAATAATTTTTGTAAGTGTATTGTGAAACCCTTTCAGTTGTTATTGGTAATGCTTGAAGGATATGTGAATTACATTACTCTTATCTATAATGAGTTAACGCGTGCGATACGCCCCCATTGTACGTTGGGGAGTATTTGTTTGTTGTTAATGACATTGTAGGTAATGGCTTTGGCATTTTTACAACACGAAGTTTCTTCACCTAACCTTCATTTTTGCTCTGTATATTAAGGTCGTCTAGCTCTTTTATGTTTTTAGCCAAGTGTTTTGACTATGAAATTATTATTTTTTATAAGAAACGATATTTTAGAACTTTCTTTATCTTTTTATTCTGATAGAGTATAAGGTTTCATAACTTTAATACCGTGAATGTCGTCGAAATAACGTTGAAAGTAACGGTACATTCTCGTCTCCGGCGTAACTATATTTCTAATGTTAACTATATAACGAAATATTTTAATAGTCTCGCATACACTCGAAGATTACAATTCTGTCTTGCGTAAATGAGTTTTCCCTGTTAAGACTGGCCGCCGTAATCGAAATTCGGCCTGGAGGATATTATTCGAATGAGCATAGCACAGATGACACGCTTGGACGGCGGTTAACTTTACAAGCACCCTCCAGGTGATCTGATGATTGGTTATGAATTAAATCATCATCATCATAACCCTAAGTCAAATTAAGTTGTACAGACCCTCCTCTTTTTAGAAGGCCAGCTACACACCTCCAACTCTGTTTGTGATACAGTTTTCATTGGCCGCAGAAATCACTTGCCATCAGGCGAGCCGTATGCTCGTTTGCCCCCCTTATATAAAAAGAAAGTCAGCCTTTAACAGTAATATATCTTAGAACATAGACGAAGAAAGAAATATCAGCGACTTTATGATATGATAGACCAAGCATATCTCAAATGCGCAAATTGCGATGCATTTTTACGTATTGTCTTTAAGCCTAACATCCTATTGCATACTGTTTCATTAAATAAGGTTAGAAAGAGTTAGTACCTCTGTTTTTGCAAATTTGCTGTACTATTTTTTCTTCAGCACGCACGGTAATACAGGTTTTTAATACCTACATCAGGCACCAGTCTCTTACAACTTAGGTACCAGTCTGGCACTTTTGTAATACTTCGCACTAAAAATACCTATTGTGAAGAAGGATTTGTACGTGGTAAAGCCACGCTGCAGCTATATTATGGTTGTAGCACGAATGGGTCGCTCGACCAGGGAAGGACCACGCTTTCACAGAATACCAGCGTAAAATAGTCGCTTAATACTGCTGTGTTTCGTATGGTGAGTGTAGTGATCCGGAGACCCTTTTTTACTGAAAACTAGCCATTTCATCTTAGTCCTCAGGGGTGACAACGCATCTGCGTTTTGATTCTTAATCGGGGATAAATGTAGATGTCTATGGGCCACAGCATCCACTTACCAACAGGTGGATTGTGTGCTCGTTTGTCACGTTTATTCTATAAAAAAATAATGGATTCATTCATTCATTCGGCGCTGTTGCTAACTTACAATAAACAAATATTTGGAAGCTGATACCATTGACATCCACATACATACAACTCTAGGGTAGTGAAAAATTAGTTTACACTAAGGGTAAGTGGCTATTGCATCTTATCTATACGTTACCATCAACACTATCATTAAAGCCCTTTACAAGTTCACTGCTGTACATAGGCCTCCCCCAAGGAATGCCTCAAACCACGATCCTGGGCCACTTGCACCCTTCACCTTCCTGCGTCTTTTACCGGACCTTAATACACACATCTATTGACACTTAAGAACCTTAAAATCTGAACTGAAGGATCTATGCACTACTCTTAAGCGACACAGAAAAAGGGTGGTATCTATATATGTATATCTAACCAATACATAGGTATAGAAACGTTGGTGAAAAACTGGTGATGGAAAAAAGGTGATTACCTTGTTGTTGATACATCTCAACATTTCAATTTTATAACTTTACTAAGTTATCTTTTATTCGATTCTTTTTACAGGAAAACCTCTGAGTTGCTTCGATCCGAACGATAGTGAAAAATCTTGCAGTTTGCATTTGTGCCAGAAGTTTAGCCAGCTCTATCCGGTCACAAGGTAAGTGGATTATGGCGATGCATATATAGTAGCATTCCAGCGCGTGACGGTTTTTATACTTTTATTAAGTATTTTTTTAAATATTATGTTAATGGCCCCAACGTTCACATACTTATTCATAATATACTTCGAGAAATCAATTTCCGTGCGTTAGTCCCGCAAAAACTTAAAAATAACTCGACCGATTTTGATGAAATTATTTATTTGTTGTGTTGAGTTATGTATGGTTTAGATTCACAATTTGATTCTATGCAGATCACTAGTTATCATAACGTTATTGTATATTATCGTAGCATATTGATTATACCGTGAATTATAATTCAGATTTGATCTTACTTATGGGATATATATTTCAGAGATAATATTTAATTATGGATATTATAAATATTGAATAGCTTATCTATGCATTTTATATTTATTGCAAAATTTTTCTTCTCTTTTAATAATATAATAGTTGTATAATAATCTTATAATAATTGTCTAAATGATTTATTTGTGTACCGAAATTGCATGAATAATAAAAATCTAATTAGACTTCGTTTATCGTAGAAAGATAGCGATAACATAGTAATTCTGCTAAAGTACATATTTTTTGATATGGAATTTAGAGCCTGAAAATTTAAAAACATCCATATTTAAAAAATACTTTGGTATTTTAAATATGTGTATGATAATAAGGAGGGTGGAAGGTAAATTAGATAGAGAGGGTATCATATATATAGAGGGTAATATAATAGTTGTATAATAATCTTATAATAATTGTCTAAATGATTTATTTGTGTAGCGAAATTGTATGAATAATAAAAATCTAATTAGACTTCGTTTATCATAGAAAGATAGCGATAACATAGTAATTCTGCAAAGTACATATTTTCTAATATGGAATTTAGAGCTTGAAAATTTAAAAACATTCATATTTAAAAAATACTTTGGTATTTTAAATATGAGTATGATAATAGGAAGGGTGGAGGGTAGATTAGATAGAGAGGGCTTTATTTTCTTTTTCTTTAATACATGGCCCACGGAATTTCACCATAGGCGTTCTTGTGTAGTTTTATTTCTATTAGAATGTATCACTTTCAAAATGTTATAAATGCAAATAAATCGTACGCCTATATTATTAAACTAATGTTATGTAGTGAGAGAAGAAGAAATGGATGATGATGATAAAATGGTAGACGAGTCTTGTTGTTTTTTTGCACTAATAGCCGAATTTTCTTGTTTCTATATTTCCATCTCAATTCGTAGGGGTTGTGAAATTCCTCTAAATAAAATGCCAAAAATCATTGTGCTTACCGTGAAATAGCGGAAGGAGAATCTCATATAAAATACTGGGTCAGTGAAAGGGAGGTCGAGACTTTAAATGTTTAGAAATATGCATTTAAATTAAATTATATGAAATAAACAGAAATTGGATAAAGTTGTAATAAGGTCACCCTAAATATTCTAGACGTTAGGAACATGCAGTATCAATTTGAACTATTTTAACAATAAATATGACTAATAGAATAAGTAAATGATGAATAGATGGGAGATAAATATATTATTATTGTCGTGAGGAATGCGGACATCGAACTCGTCTTATCTTAATGTTATCGCCTTGAACTTGACATATACATATCAATTTATTTAGGTACTTTTCCTTTAAAGCGTTCCTGGTTATAAATACCTTTAATAACTAGTTACTGATAGGCTTGTACTTAGACTTTATGTTGGTTTGAATCAACATTGATCGGTGTTTATACAAAAGCACTATTTAATGATTTGTGTCATTTTTACCAGACTGTGTTTCACCGTGCGGTGACAGTGTAAGAATATCCATTACCCCATGTTCACCCCTTTTGTGCCGTAAGAGGCCACAGATAGAAACAATACAAACAGCGTCATACTAATAACGACTCAAAATAAAATATTGCGGTTGCCCACCCGTTTGCAAAGAGTGGCAACTATAGCAAATATTCCCCCTATGCAGTGGCGAAGCTACAGCTCCAAGCTAGGGCAAGCCCAAGATATAAATTGATAAAAATATAGATTGTTGTTTTTAGCAGTTTTATAAAAATACACCAGTCTTGATCTGTCTCCACGCTTCAGTTTCATATTCAGTGCTGTCAAGGACGTGTTTACCAAAGCACACAGAAGGCATATCACTGCAAGATAGATTGTATTACATATCAGCAATTGCATAGCTTCGGTGGCTTTGAAGAAAGCTGTTTGGGTTTGTTTAAGCGAAAGAAAAAAATATTTACATCCAATACAATACATGAACAAAAGTAAAACACGAACAAAGTACAAACTAACTATGTATAAAATTAACAAAAGAAAAAAAAAACAAACAAATTATTTACATTCTAATGGATAAGAGATAAGCACACAGAGTAAATAAACATTGAAACGTGAAATGAACTTGCAAACGTATTGCCCGTGCGCCTCCGCTTTTAACAAATTTATTCCCAAAAGCCTGGCTTCAAATCTCTATACTAATTGCTATATATACAATCGTAGTTATATTTCATTATAATTAAATTAAATCGTAGTTATATTCTTTAATGGAAGCTTCGCCACTGCCCCTATGAGGCAATCTATGGATTCGGCACTTAACTCTAATACGCTGTAACGGTAACGGCAACGGTAACGGTAACGGTACCCAACTGCCTCAGGAGGAGACTTTTTCAAGTGTTTGGATATATTTATGTATAATTTATATACATTCACTCGAACACTATTACTCTCCTTATATGTACATATGTATATATGAACTTATGTGTGTGTGTATGTATGTATATAATATGTATGTATATAATATGTATGAGTGCATATCTATTTCTTTGGCGCGCTCTGTAGCCTATAGTGTCTTCCAAACCGAATTTCGGTCACAGCGGCCAGTCTCAACTGAGACTATCCAGTATCCATCTACGCAGGACAGTATTATATTGCCCGAGTGTATGCAAAAGCACAGGTACACTCTATTCTCTCACTCTCATATTCCGATGAGACGGTAACCACACACGACTGGAGAGGTTAGGTGTAAAACTAACGGTGATTTCGAATGACTCCGAGCTGCTGAGCTAATTTTTTGACAGAAAAACACAAACACTGATTTTATGGCCCGACCCGGGATACTTATTTCTTATTTTTCTTGTTTTAATTTTTAAAAAGAATATTAACAATGCTATAAACATTACTAATATTCACCTTAACCACTCGTGGTAAGCTTAAACTGCTTGTGTTGCGAGTGGTTCACGCCAGTAGTTGAATGGTGTATTCGAACCCACGACCTTTTTGAGTTCGCGGTCCGCGCCCTGCCATTAGGCTACTGTCGCTTCAAAAAACCCGGACCTACATGATCTGCAACCGTGTTTACGACCACTAGACCAAAGAGGCAGGCTATAGCTTAAATGGCATGATGGATGCCTTTGTGTTGTTGAAATTCTAGATAAGAATGACAAACGGGTATACAGTCCACCTGATAGTAAGATGCTGCAGCCCATAAACATGTATATACATCATCGATTAAAAATAAACATTCAGATGCATTGTCACCCTTGAAAATTTACGATTTCCTATGGAATGTCTCGTGACCAGTAAAATAGTCTCTAGTTCACGTCACTTTCCATACGATACACAATAGCATTATTATGCTACTGTTTCATGCTGAAGGTTTCACGCTGGTAATTTCTGCGGGCGTGTTCCTTCCACGGTCGAGATAACCCATTCGTGTACAGCAAGCGTAACCAAGCAAGACTCTGCTGTCTAAAAATGTGACTAATTGTACAAGAAGTACTGATTTACTGCTATCATACTATTTATTACTATTTATTTACAGCCCGCCTGGAAATGTGTTAAGCAATGCAATGAGGTAAAACACTTAGTATAGCGGAGAATGTGTCATGGAAATATAACATTTTGCTTGTAAATTAATTTGCACAATGCACGGTGTTAATTCATCTCGGGTTCGATTCATATTTCATTATGCTCGAAAGGTTGGATTTATTTACAGTAAATACAGATTGCCGTATTGAATGGGGTGGACATAAGCATAGTTTGCATTATTTAGTGGTTACATCATGCATTTAGATTTTAGAATCGTTAGATTGAAAGTTTCACCCTACTGACATTTGGTTTCATGTTTTCGTATGGTTGATGTATGATAGAGTTGTTATTGGTTAGTTAACCGGCCTTCTATTGTGTTTTAGTCAATTATAAATTAATTTCAGGTCAGCGAGTATAATGAGCTCTAAATCTGCCCCTGGCATTATAATGGCAACAGGTGTGGTTGGACGTTCATTGAAAGGAATCCCAGGTGTATATTTAAGTCGCGATGCAGGTCTCACCTGGAAGCGAATTCTTAAGGACTATTACTTTTTCAATTATGGAGATCACGGTGGGGTACTGGTTGCTGTGAAATATTTTAAACTACTCGGTGAAACAAGAGAGATACTCTATTCCACAAATGAGGGGATCGAATGGAACTCTTATCAGTAAGTACAATTCTATGAAAAATCTTCAGAATTCTCTTTTTCTTTTATAAACTGATGTTACAATTAAAACTGCTTGTAACTGCAGGCTTCGTTAAAACTAGTTTTGACTATAACTGGCAGGCAAAAGCACTTTTTTTAACGGCCAAATATCGATGGGTAATAAACATTTTGTAAAATATCAAACACTTTTTATTAAACCCTGGTCAAAAGTTATTTTAACTAACAGTTTTGGTCAAAACTAACTAATACTATTAAGCTAAAAATTATTAATCAAAAATTTTTCAGTCAAAAGTATTCTATCAAGCTTTTTATCAAAAATACTATTTACAGTTTTCGTAAAAGAAGTTTTGAACGGCAAAAAGCTTTGAACGTAACATATTATTGTTATTATATACACTGTAATTATACACACACATTATATACACTATAAAGATAAACTATGAATACAATTTTCAATTCATTTATAATGGCGGCTGTACACTCTCGACGAGAGCACTCGCCGTGCCTCTCGCACGAGAAAGCGTTTTCACGAGTGTGACCTTGTACATTCTCGTTTATTCAGTTACGGTGAGTGACATCGAGGAGATGGACGCATGATTTCGGATGGATGGATTTTTGTCTTTGTGATCACGATGCGTGGGCTCCCACAAAATCGGTTCACTTTGATAAATTCAAGAAAATGGAGTTTGCTCTCTTGGTTCCACATGATAAGTTTGTGGTAGTAGGATAACCAAGTATACTGCACGCTAAAACGTCTTGCGGTAGACTAAACGAAACGCGAGGGAATACGAGGCCCTTTGACTCGCGCACCAAAAACCGACACGAGTGCGAGAGCACGCGAGGCGAGGCGAGAGAAGGCAAGGCTTAGCTAAAGTATCCTGTACACTCTCGTCCTCGCCTTGCCTCGTGGGCCCTCCTCGAGAGTGTACAGCCGCCATAAAATGTAGCACGAATGTTAAAAGCTGACAGCAAGCTGACAACACACTGAAGTGACAGGTGGACGTACTGTCCACTTAATGGTCAGTACAACAAAGGACGTTACAGATGTGTTGTCACCTTTGTGGACTAAAATAGAATGTCTTACTGTATACACTTTAGACCGCAACACAGCAGAGAACGCACTGTTGTTTGCCGATAGATATATGTAAGAGGGTAGTTAAGAGTAAGTGTTAATGGTTAGTGGCTATTGTAGCTAATAGACCTGCAGAAAACGTTAAACAAAGGAGGCTTCAGATGTGTTGTCACCTTTGTGGACTAAAATGGAATGTCTTACTCTATACATTTTAGACCGCAACGCAGCGGAGAACGCACTGTTGTTTGCCGGTAGATATGTAAGAGGGTAGTTAAGAGTAAGTGTTAATGGTTAGTGGCTATTGTAGCTAATAGACCTGCAGAAAACGTTAAACAAAGGAGGCTTCAGATGTGTTGTCACCTTTGTGGACTAAAATGGAATGTCTTACTCTATACATTTTAGACCGCAACGCAGCGGAGAACGCACTGTTGTTTGCCGATAGATATATTTAAGAGGGTAGTTAAGAGTAAGTATTAATGGTTAGTGGCTATTGTAGCTAATAGACCCGCAGAAAACGTTAAACAAAGGAGGCTTCAGATGTGTTGTCACCTTTGTGGACTAAAATAGAATGTCTTACTCTATACACTTTAGACCGCAACACAGCAGAGAACGCACTGTTGTTTGCCGATAGATATATGTAAGAGGGTAGTTAAGAGTAAGTATTAATGGTTAGTGGCTATTGTAGGTAATAGACCCGCAGAAAATTTTAAACAAAGGAGACTTCAGATGTGTTGTCACCTTTGTGGACTAAAATGGAATGTCTTACTCTATACATTTTAGACCGCAACACAGCGGAGAACGCACTGTTGTTTGCCGGTAGATATGTAAGAGGGTAGTTAAGAGTAAGTGTTAATGGTTAGTGGCTATTGTAGCTAATAGACCCGCAGAAAACTTTAAACAAAGGAGGCTTCAGATGTGTTGTCACCTTTGTGGACTAAAATGGAATGTCTTACTCTATACATTTTAGACCGCAACGCAGCGGAGAACGCACTGTTGTTTGCCGGTAGATATGTAAGAGGGTAGTTAAGAGTAAGTGTTAATGGTTAGTGGCTATTGTAGCTAATAGACCTGCAGAAAACGTTAAACAAAGGAGGCTTCAGATGTGTTGTCACCTTTGTGGACTAAAATGGAATGTCTTACTCTATACATTTTAGACCGCAACGCAGCGGAGAACGCACTGTTGTTTGCCGGTAGATATGTAAGAGGGTAGTTAAGAGTAAGTGTTAATGGTTAGTGGCTATTGTAGCTAATAGACTTGCAGAAAACGTTAAACAAAGGAGGCTTCAGATGTGTTGTCACCTATGTGGACTAAAATGGAATGTCTTACTCTATACTTTTTAGACCGCAACGCAGCGGAGAACGCACTGTTGTTTGCCGGTAGATATGTAAGAGGTAGTTAAGAGTAAGTGTTAATGGTTAGTGGCTATTGTAGCTAATAGACCTGCAGAAAACGTTAAACAAAGGAGGCTTCAGATGTGTTGTCACCTTTGTGGACTAAAATAGAATGTCTTACTGTATACACTTTAGACCGCAACACAGCAGAGAACGCACTGTTGTTTACCGGTAGATATATGTAAGAGGGTGTTAGCAATTCCATTATTTGTTAATGAATATTTTATACTAAATAAAATTGTTTATGTTATAGATTTAATGAAGACGATCTCCGCATTTACGGACTAATGACAGAGCCAGGGGAAAATACAACAGTGTTTACAATGTTCGGTTCGGCAAATGAACAACATCAATGGATAATCATAACTATTGATTTGCAAAACGCTTTCCCTCGCAATTGCACGCCCGATGATTACAAATTCTGGTCACCGTCTCCGCCCAACTCGTCTGTATCATGTGTATTAGGCAAAAGGGACATTTTCCAACGTCGTCTAGCCCACACAAATTGCTACAATGGCATTGATTATGATGGACCCATTAAAAAAGAAGTGTGTGAGTGTAGTAGAAGAGATTTTGAATGCGACTTTGGATTCGTTTTGTCGCGTAATATTTGCGAACGCAATAAAACCTCCAAATACGACCCTTATGCTATCCCATCGAATTGTCGTCCAGGTCATTTCTATAAACGTACTAAAGGCTATAGAAAGATTGATGGAGATGTATGCACAACCTCTGGATATCTTCCCTACGTTCCAGATATGATACCTTGTCCACTAGAAGAACCAACAGAATTCCTCTTAGTTGCTTTAAGAGATAAAATAGCTCGCATTGATTTGTCCGACAATTCGACCATATTCCCAATAAAGGACCAACAAAACATCGTTGCTATTGAATTCGACATGAAAAATAATTGTATTTACTGGGCCGATATTGAAGTGGATAAAATCAGTCGGCAGTGTTTTGACTTGGGATTTACTCAGGAAGTTGTTGTTGATACCGACCTAGCTAGTATAGAAGGCATGGCTCTGGATTGGATTTCAAATGTTTTGTTCTTTGTCGACGGTATGAGGAAAAAAATTGAAGCCGTGAGGACTGATTTGAACAGCGAGGGTAGAATGCGAGTAACAATTTTGGACTCTAATGTTCTATCAAAACCTAGGGGCATAGCTGTTCACCCTAAGGCAGGCTATTTGTTCTGGACTGACTGGGACAGAAATAATCCGTCCGTTTCCCGTTCGAATCTTGATGGAACAGAAATTAAGCGGCTGTTCGGAAAACCAATCGTGCAATGGCCTAATGGGATAACGATAGATCAAATGTCTGAAAGAATATACTGGGTGGATGCTATGGAGGATTACATTGCTAGTGCTAATTTGAATGGGCAGTACTTTAAGAAAATCTTGTGGGACGATGAGAAAGTCTCTCATCCGTTTGCAGTTGCAGTGTTAAAGGACAAGATGTACTGGGACGATTGGAAGGCAAAATCTATTTTTATAGCGGATAAAGACAATGGACAGGATGTTATCACAATTAACGGTTCTTTCTCTGGCTTAATGGGTCTGAAAGTATTTGCACATTTCATTCAACACGGAAGCAATGCGTGTTCTTATAAAAACACCAGTTGTGATGCTTTATGTTTGGGTGGCCCTGGCAACACCTTCAGTTGTTTATGCCCTGATGGCTTTGTGAAAGACAATGGAAAATGTATGTGTCCAAATTTTGTAGAACCGTATGCCAATTTCACATGTCCAAAGAAACCGGGCGCTACATGCGCTTCTGTAAGTATATTGAGCATATACATATAATATCTTTATAGTACATTCATTAATATATTGATATATATAGATATATTTTACATGGTTTATGGGATTAATCTCAGGAATTGAATCAGGAATATGAAGCGACAGTAGCCTAATGGCAGGGCGCGGACCGCGAGCTCAAAAGGTCGCGGGTTCGAATCCATCATTCGACTACTGTCGTGAACTACTCCTAACACAAGCATTTTCAGCTTGCCGGGAATGGTTAAGGGGAATATTAGTAATGTAAATTAATAGGATTACTAATATTTAAAAAAATTGGGAAAGTGGGTATTTGTAAATAGGGCTCTTAGGGGAGATGGTCAACTTATTCCCAAATACTGACTAAAGCCTGCACGCCTTGTCTCCTGCTAGTGGATGGATGAGTTTACTTTGCTGGAAAATGTATTTGAAAATTCCGAACCCATATTTCACTGACTGGTCGTTTGTAGAAGCATTTACAGTATAAGAGCGTAGGCTCTTATGCTCATCAACTCATCTGCTTAGCGTTGTGAGCAACGCCGTCTTAAACCATATCGGGGCCCTTGGGCACACAAGAATTAGGGGCCCTGTTGGAACGTAAAAAAGTTATGACAAAAACATTTTTCTGTTATGATCTTATATTTATTATAGTTAGTTGGTAAAAATCAAATAATATGTCATTAATGACATATTATCCATCATGGGCATCCACGACTTTGTTTAGCCACCACGACGGCTCCACATTATAATGAATGAGATCTTAGGAAAATGTAAACTTTAATGTTTCTTTCCTAAACTTTCCTTCAAAAAAGGAAAATATTCCATAGCAACGAACGTGTATTCTTTTTATTTCTTACATTAAAAGTTAGGCTTCATTTGCCTAAAAATAAGGATCGTAAAAATTATTTGCTATAAAATCTAATATTTGTGGTTGAAAATTACATACATACATAAACACTCACGCCTGTCACCCAGAGGGGTAGGCAGAGACTACAGACTTCCATTTGGCACGATCCTGACACACCTCTCTCGACTCCTTCACATCCATACACCTACGCATACATGCGTCGTCGGTTAAGGGTACTCCTAATTTGGCCCGTTTTCAACAAATCGCCAATTTGGTCGATAAATTTTCGCCTAGGACGTCCCTTTCCGACTCTGCCATTCACTTCTGCAACATAAATTTTCTTTGTCACTCTTTCCTCATTCATTCTTTCCACATGACCAAACCACCGAAGCATTCCTTTCTTAATGGTTGAAAATTATCATTTTAAATAAATCATTTGCCGTAAAATCTTTTGAAGTGTTATTTTTATTAAGTACGAAATGATATTTTCATCTCATAGATTATAAAATGAAATGCTTGTTACTGCTCAGGGTTGCCAGGAAGTCACTAACAACACCCTCATTTACTCTATAAATTTTTGTCGGGTTTTGTATAGCGAAAGGAAATAAGGCAGATGCCTTTCGTTATGGGGGCCTCCGTGTTGATAGGGCACGGCCCCCGGGCATGGGCCCCGCGTGCCCTTATGGTAAAGCTTTGAACGGCACTGGTTGTGAGTATGGGCAAATCTTTTAAAATACCAAAAATTGAATCATATATGTTGTCTAGGTTGTAGCAAAGGTGTGTAGCAAATTAAGCTTCAGTCATATTTGGCTAACTTACCATCTAGTGGGGTAGTTGTTAACTGCTGTTTAAAATAGTTTAAAAAATAAATAAAATGTACATCTATCATCCTTCGGGAGAGTCTATTGTGCAGCAGTGGACTGTTACGGGCTCATGATTTTTTTTTTTTTTGTAAATCATGTAATAGTCTATTACTGGACGTAGTTTTTTGGTTAGTAGGATTCTAGCGGATACTATCGCGTGGTACGTTACACGCTTCACTTCATCACCGGTCTGGCTGTTGTGCCTACAATTGGGATGGATTAAATTTTGTATTTATCACACTCATGCCCACTTTACATTCCAAATTTTTGTTTCGATATATTTTACGTTTAACAAGTACGAGGTCCGAGCACTGCCATCTATCGGCGACCTTGACAATTTCTGGACATTTTCCATAGCACACACACCAACCCGATCAATAATGGATTATTCATTCATTTTTATTTTAATATTGATAAGGGGCGATTGCATGTTTAGAAGTCTGTTATGATCATGTTTTTTGTTAATAGGATCAGTTTTCGTGCAAAAACGAGATGTGCATAGCTTTATCGTGGAGATGCGACGGTAACGACGATTGCGGCGATGGCTCCGACGAAACAGATTGCTCATGTACGCCGCCGAGGGTAGCTTGCGACGGCGGCAGCTGTTACCTACCACAATGGCGATGCGATGGCGATATCGATTGTGCTGACAGGAGCGACGAGAAAGGTAATGATTTAAAGATATGCTATATTTTTTTCTATGGATTAAAATTTCTGTAAAATTTTACTATGTAAGCGTGCATGCTTTTTCAATTAAAACACTTTGCAACATTATATCTTGCAAATTTATAATTAAATAAAATCTTTTTATTTTTGTAAGAAATTAAAATTACGCTGATAAAATAGCATCATTATCCTGTTGTGCTTTGTATGCTTCCTAATCAAAGATACATACAGAGATATGTGCTCGATTGTTACCTTCACTTGAATAAAAAATGCTATAGAACACGAAATAGTCATATTGGCATATAAACATTGAATATCTTTATATTTAACATACATATTGAGAAAATTGTGGCGGTATAGGAGAATTTAGCACTCCATTTTTAGGGTTCCGTAGTCAACTAGGAACCCTTATAGTTTCGCCATGTCTGTCTGTCCGTCTGTCCGTCCTCGCTTAATCTCTATGACCGTTAGCACTAGAAAGCTGAAATTTGGTACCAATATGTGTATCAATCACGCCGACAAAGTAAAAATTGGAAAAAAATGTTTTATTAGGGTAGCCCCCTATATGTAAAGTGGGAAGTGATTTTTTTTTTAATTTCAACCCTAACGTGTGATATATTGTTGGAAAGGTATTTAAAAATGAATAGGGGTTTACTGAAATTATTTTTTGATAATGTGAATAATTGCGGAAATAATCGCTCCAAAAGTAAAAAACAATGTGTCGCCCCCTGTAACTTTTGAACCATAATTTTAGAAAATATGAAAAAATCTGAAAAGTAAAACTTTATAAGGACTTTCTAGGAAAATCATTTTGAACTTGGATGGAAACAACAGTACCCACTACCGGGAGCAGTTGCAGGAGCGCTGAGCGCTGCTGGAGCGCGAACATAATGGATACCCACCTTTAAACTCATAAGTGGGAACACTTATTGTGACGGACGGGAAACTACGGAACCCTACACTGAGCGTGGCCCGACACGCTCTTGGCCGGTTTTTTTAGTTTCGTGGGTCGACTATGAGAAATGCTATGATTGTCACATGATCTCGTATAGGTATATAACTAACTCTTGGTGACATGCGAGCCTAAAGCGCTGTTTGCGATGTACTGTATTCTTTTGTTTTTGACTAAATGTTAACCCTATGAAGTAATCTATGGGGGAGGCTCATGTTCAGCGTGGAGTTTTATGGGATATAATGGTAATGGTAACTAAATGTTGCACACAAAGCGAGAGACCATAGTTAAGAGGATACCTTGAAAATTAATCGAAGTTTTGGGAGCGTGGCTTATTAATTTGTCGGTGAAGCTAACGGACGACTGAAGGAGTGTCAAAATGAAAGTGATGCAATGAATTCATAGTACGCAAATTATGAGATAGCCATACCGAGCAAGCGCTCGGAAAAAAAAACTAAGTAAGCGCCAAACAACATTTTAATTTATTTTAACAAAACTTCGTTATGGATTAAAAAATTGGTTTATGAGAACTTAGATATGATTATTTACAATGCCTTAAAAATATTTCCATGAACTTATTCGTAAAACTATTGTGATGTCATGGAGAAATGTAACTAATTATAGCCTACTTTCCAATTTTTTTCTATCGACAAAATTACATGATATCGTGTTTTCCTTTTATGCAATCCAGGCCATGTAGTCAAAAATCATATACCGAAATTTTGGTTTGTAATCCAAAAAACTTAAAAAAATATGTTCAACAGAAAAACCACCAAATTTTCGAGGAATCACCATAACTAGAAACTCGCTCTTCAAACTTATCTCAATATTTCCTTGAAATATACTTTTTTATTTATACTTTGCATTTTTGTTTATTTTAGATTGTGGCAAACATAACTGCACTGAAAATGAATTCCAATGCAATAATGGGAATTGCATCGATAAAAGGTGGTTATGTGACGGAGACAATGATTGCAAGGATGGCTCTGATGAAAGTAATTGCACGGTAATTACAATCATCTTAATATGTTATTTTTTAATAGTGGTGGTGTAATCATATTGTAATTTTAACAGACTTGGTAGAGCCATGCTGCAGTTATATTAGTAGTATAGTTGTAGCACGAATGGGTCGACTCGACCGGGGAAGGACCACGTTCTCACAGAATACCAGCGTTAAATAGTAGCTTAATGCTGCTGTGTTTCGTATAGTAGTACCGGAGACCCTTTTTACTGGAAACGAGGCATTCCACCTAAGTCCTTACGGATCACAACGCATCTGCATTTTGATTCGTAATCGAGGATAGATGTAGATGTCTATGGGCCACAGCAACCATTTACCATCAGGTGGACTGTGTGCTCGTTTGTCATCCTATCCTATAAAAAAAATGTTGTATACTCACAGCCTCTTTTAATCGTTTACTATCGCTTACTTATGTATTAATTATCTCTTTACCTGATAGAAACCAACATTGGTTCAGCAGTTCTTAAGTTTTTGTCGATTTTTGTGAGTTTTTGTGTGATATTTTTTTGATGTTATTCTGTTTTTGTGAGATTTTTGTGAGAAGACAATGAGACTTCTCTTAACAATCAGGGTATTTAAAGAAGGTTTGCAATTCGCTTAGTAAGCATTGTAATTTAGGAAAATCCTCTCTGCCATGGGAGAATAACCTGTTTTCTTGCTTTACTTACTTATTGGAATACTTGAACGTCACTGACATACGAAATATAAAGAAAAAGCGGTTATTTCTTATTCTAGGTTATAATAAGAAGACCAAATATAATGAATTGTTCAGCGAATGGTTTTTCATGTGGCAATGATAATAACGGGCTGTGCATTCCTAATTCTTGGGTCTGCGACGGCGAAGTCGATTGTCCTGGTGGGGAGGATGAGAAGGCCGAACGATGTAAGAACTCCACCTGTGCGCCATACATGTTCAGATGTCCCAATGGAAAATGCATACATAAGGCTTGGGTGAGTATTTAGACGTAGTTCTTTATTGAAAATATTGGTGAATCCCTTGTGTTAGATTTCTTTACATGACAACTTTTTCCATAAAGAAAGAAACAATATTTAAACATTTTATTTAAAAGAGCGTGTTTAGTAATGTGATGGTGGCGTCAAAGAATCCATTACTCCTTATTCAAAGAAGTCTAGAAATGTCTTATGGCTGTCGATACGTATATACATACTGCAGCTATGTTATTAGTATAGTTGTAGCACGAATGGGTCGGCTCGCCCGGGCAAGAACCACGCTCTCACAGAATATCAGCGTATAATAGCAGATTAACGCCGCTGTGTTTGGTATGGTGAGTGTAGAGAATCAGAGACCCTTTTTACTGGAAAGGAGGCATCTTAGTCCTCATTTGCATTTATATTTGTAATCGATGTCTGTCTGTGATAGATGTCTATAGGCCACGGGCTATAGGACTGTGTGCTCGTTTGTCACCCATCTCCTATAAAAAAAGAAAAAAAGGGGCGGTGAACACTCTATATCACTTGAGATGAAATACCCATACCGATCACGTGGAGCAGTACAAAACGTGCAAATTTACGCCATATGATGGCCAATCCTATGCATATATCCTATAAATGCCTGCTCACTGTGGCGATTTCGTCAAATTCTTCGTACCGTACTCTTGCGCAGTAGTGGACTTTTAGGGTGTTGATAAAGAATATATTAATATAAAAATATTTACTAAGTGATTGGACTTCTTTATTGTCTAGGAGTTTGTCTGAGTCGGTATCACCACCCTCGCATTGCTCTATTCAGGTTTTTGGCGTAAAGACAGCCAGTATATTTACAGGCTGTGAGGCATTCCCTCTTAGTCCACACAGACAACACATCCTAACCGTGAGTTTGCACTGACGCGATTTTCACAAAAAAAAACATATTTTAAACACTGTTTTCTGCCAGTGTATCAAAAAGCTTTTGCATAGTCAAAGAACATGTTGTAGTAAAATATGTTTGACAGTGTATTGTACATTACATATTTTAACTATATTATATCTTTATAACTACAGAAACAAATTGTTTGAAAACAAATATTGTCATGTTGAAAGATAAGTTTGAATATCTGTTGAAAATTTTACACAGTTTTTGTGAGTGCGAGCGCCACCATCAACAAAACATGTTGTGTGATTTATTTTATGCGATTTGTTTCAAAACATTACGTGCTGGATGTTTCTCAGTGCAAACGTACTGTAAGCCACCTTTGTTTGAAGTTGGCTTCAGGTGTCCATGCACTGCAATAGCTATTTACTAGCAAGTTAGTTTGTCTCTTCAGTTTTATAAAAATTACTTAGGTATGCGACGGAGAACATGACTGCAGCGACGTAGAAGCATCAGACGAAAAGAATTGTACCTACATCGGCCACTCTAAACTTATTCCTCGTCCGACAACTGAGAAGCCGTTCGAATTCCCGACCAACAGTTCGTGTTTAGACTGGATGATGAAATGTGACAATGGAAACTGTATGCCGTATTGGTGGCGTTGTGACGGCATTAACGACTGCGGAGACAATTCCGACGAGATCGCTTGTGGCGTGAATTTCGTCGAACCTAAATCCGGAAATCGACACGACAGTGTGAGACAGAAATGTGGGAAGAATAGATTCACATGTGCTCCTGGTGAGTATTTTATGTAATAAAGGAGACAATCAATTTTTGTATGGAGAATGGGCCCACCACAAATTTTCGCGTCACGCAATGAAATGGATGTCGATTTATTCCTTATAATCTATAGATTACAAAAGTAATATTAGTATTACCACATCTAGACGGAAAATCGAGAAATTAACAATTAAAATATGAATTTTAAAATAACCTAGAAATAAACTAAAAGCTATTTATAGTGGTTTTTACCGGTATTTTAAGTTAAAATAGTGCACTGTTGAATAATAGTTCATATAAAACCAAGTTGTAGGTACATTCAGCATTTTCAGGTACTTCAATATTTTTAGTAGTTACGGCAAAATATAGTGCCTGTCTGTGTACAAATGTGGTATGGATACAATTTTTTACATATATTGATTGTGAGTGTACTTCCCAATTACCGTTAAAATAATATGATTAAATTCAAGATGACTAAGGTATAATATATCCATTTATATTTACAATATTACCAACACACGTTATATAGTAAGAAAGATGTTTTAAACTGACTGTGTAAAAAACAAGTTATAATGCAACCGTATTTATAGATGGTAAATCATCATTTCCAACATAGTCTATATAATTCAGACATATAATTCAGATCTATTTATGCAGACAGACAGACAGGCCCGGTGTCAAGACTTTTTTTAATATGCATTGGTTGATTATTAAATACCTAATTATACATCTTAAAATGACTGGGTTCTAAAATACCAAAATGACTAGGTAATATCATGCTTATCTGTTATTACACACTGATAAATTGCGAGGAAGTAAGATGTTTTGAACTGTTTGTGCCAGGATAACAAACACACAGGTATAGTTTAATTGTATTTATTATTAGCGATCCGCCCCGACTTCGCACAGGTGATTTCTGGATTTCGACAACAGCGCCACCTACCGAGTCCATATGTGAATATGAATCATATAGAGACCCATTCAAACACACATAAACATTTCATCAAAATCGCTTGGATGGTTTCTAACGGACATTGGTAGAAACATTTTTCGTGTTTTCATATCAAAAGATCATATTAAAAGATTTTTTCAAAATAACTTGATGGCAACATTTCTATTTATGATACGATATTGATATGTAATAAGTCCCAAAGATCATGTATAATCACTGCATTAATTATGGTAAAAATCGTCAGTGTTTTATGAGTCCTCTTTTAAAAATAACACAGCAGACAGGTGCAGTGCCGGCCCTTTGTTCATTAAAGTATGCACCTATTAGCAAGTATAAATCCCATACATCATTAAAATATAATGTCTCGCCCGTTTACGATATTATTAGAAATCAGAAGGATATTGTCAATTAAAGGAGATAAAAAAGGGTGCCAGAGCAATAAATTCAACTTTGCTCGGCGTTTATTTATAAATTACACATATAACATAATATATAACAGATAATAAAGCACACAGTAAAATAGAAATAGTTTAAATAAGCAACAAAAATTACAATTTTTAGTCATCATTATTCATCATCATTACAACAGTCCACTGCCGAACATATGGCTCCTAAATTAAAGATATAATGTAAAATATTACAGAGGCCTTCCGTGAATTGCCATCACGTTCCGTCCCGTATGGTGTCGTTAAAGTCGACAGAATAAAATAAAAATACCAGGAGATGAGCAGCAGCATCTTCCTATAGAATACCACAAAAAACTTTGGTTGCCACAAGTGAAGCAACTATAGCAAAAATGATCATTTATATTACAACAGTACCCAGTAAGAGCAGCCCTAGTGTTAGCAATTGATGGGTTGGTGTCAACTAGTATATAAGTGTAATAAGTTTTTTTACTAGTGTGCCTTGATTGTATCCTACCTCGCAATAGATAACTATTTGGACAAATACGAGCGCACAGTGGCACATAAAATGAGTGATCTATCAGCAATCTCTCTTTAAGTAGTTTAGGTATTAAAAATCTAGATGAATGATTACATGACTTAAAAATACAGTGATGGGAAGTAGAAGCAGCACGCTTATAATTAGCCATAGTAATTGTTGATACCGCTCTGGAAATGGCAGGGGTTACAGGTGCAGGTATAGGGGGTGGTTGTGGGATGTTCTCATTTTGTTGTCTCTGTCTCCATACAGCTCTGGAAGTCCTCAGCCAGCAAGGACTGCATACTCGTTCTAAACGATCCACCTAAAAATGTTATTTTTTTATCAACTAACAAAATGAACTATAGTTTTACAGTGTCTACTCTAAATATTAATAATATTTATTATTGTTCTATTTATTTCAATCTTTCTAACACTAAATAGTTTTAATGTCTTTTAAAATTATAAATATTAGCATGCAATTGTTTCCCCTCATAATATTTTTGTGGCACTACTTATTTAAATAGAAATAAATAATACATCACATATCAGACAAGAAGTGATTATTTTAGAATTATTAACAATATTTCACTAAGCCCAAGTTCTTTAAAGTTTCAGATAACATTGAATGATTAAATTGAAAAACTGTCATTCTTTACGAGTTGGGGTACTTTCAACTAATTATAAATAATTTTGTAAATCTTAACAAAACAGAAAAGATTTGATCTTGATTCTCTAGGGTGAAATATCGATTCACTAGATCGATTTAGTACTATATATCGATATGACATTGACATATGAAACGTCAAAAACGTGAGAATATTTAATTAATTAGTCATTTACCATTATTTTCAAAAAATAAATAAAAATACTTCGATGCTGCTCCGGTAGCAAAACTCGCGTGTAGGTGCTATAGATAAACTCCCTTGACGCCCCCCACAGTAACAGAATCTTCAAATTGAGGCGACCGAATTGTAAACCCAACCCGTTTTATTTATACTAATGTCTTTTAAGGTAAAAAATATTGCTTGTATAATAAGTACAAAAGCATACAAATATGGGTGTAAGATAAGGAAGAAGTATCGTTCATCTAATAACTAAAAATATAAAAGTGGTTATTAATGGCAAATATCCCCCCATAAGACAATGTATGGGGAGTTCTATGTTCAGCAGTAGACTTTTGGTAGACTGTAAACTTAAAGATAACCTGTTAGTGAACTGCCATGTTGAATGAGCATAAATATCAGACCAAATTGTATGCAAGGTGTCTGATTTTACAAACATCAATCTGTGTACCAAAGCGATTGTGGCAAATCCTCTGGGCTGCCTATTTGAGGCAGGGGACCATTTACAGCCTTTTAAAATAAAGTAAGTACCTGGTGTGATGGTATCCACTGCAAAATAATATCTCTTTCTTCAGAGTTAATAGGCACAATCCATGTACGGTGTGCTCTTAAAATTGAAGATCCACATGGAATACAAATATTCCTGTACCCAAATCTTCTAATGGAGTGAGCAGATGCAACACTTTCTTGCAATATTCTTAGGCAGTTACAACAAACTGCATCAAGTGGGTGTAACTGAAAAAATCAGGAATTAAAAATAAAAGAGTAAATAAATATTAAGTTCAGATAAATGTACATTTTGAGGAGGGAAGCGAAGTTGGCATGAAAGTGAATGTTTGATGTGGAACCCTATATTATTTGAAATACAATACATTTTCAATTAAAAAAATTGGAAATCCAAAAGACAAATATCGATTAATATATTATGATTTTACAATGTTTACAGTATTTCAGGTATATCATATAGTAATAAATAAACTTTATAATATTAGAGTATTATGGAGTTGTGTAATATTAGTAATATATGGGGGAGGCCTATGTTCGGCAGTGGAGTTTAATTGGCTGTAACGGTAATATTACAGTGGATTGAAATATTTTTCATTGCACAAAATAACTTATTTTTCTATTTACATAATATTTTATCCTTAGAATAAATATTGACACATATATACCTACCTATACTTTTTCGACTTTGATTTCTGATTGACTGACAAAAGATAATTAGACACACATAACATGTGATACATCATACCATGCCACAAAAACTTCTTTTGTGTATATTGTGTGACTTTATTTTATCTATTATTTAAATTAGATTTCACTAATAACATAAAACTTCAATACTTTAACATTTAACACATTAGTAAGATCTGTGTTTATCATTTGTTAAAGGTTAATTCAGTATAAGTTATAGATTTTACAAAATTCTAGGAGGAAAAATAAACTTTTATATTACTCACATGGACTTTTTTTGCATTTTTTTGCATCAATTAGACATTAATATACTAATCCACTTGTAAGCAGTAAAACTACTTGAATTTTCATTTTTAAACTTTTACTTTAACACGAACACAGTTTACATCAATTTAAACAAACAAGTTTATACCATATTATATTTTTTCTACCAAATAGTTTAAAACAACAGACTTTTTTCTTACAGTCAATGCCAGTCAATGGAGTCAATGCAAAGAACTATGCCTGTAAGTTGGTAAATAGCAGGATAGAATGCAGTGTCATCTTGTGTCAAAATGTAAAATAATTCAATCAATATAATATATCATTTATCAATTTAATATAACGAAAGATTAAAATTATAGCTATAGAAGGTATGAATTTATTAATAATATGAAGGGATATTTATTATTACTTTTAAAAACTTAAAATAATTAAGTACTTAATCATGTATAGATCGTTATGTGTTCCTGGAGTCTGTGGATCGTTTTCTTTCGTATTATTTCTAAAAAATCGTACCATATCCCATATTATTCAACAAAAATAAAAATATTAAGTAATATATTAATAAAGAAAATATGTAATTTTCGTTTCCGCAGTAGGTATACCTAGTAATATTGTTGGAATAAAATCGAGAGTAACAAAAATAATATATATTTCTCATAAAAGTTTAAATCTAGATAATATGTAAGTAGATAGATTGTATAGTGCAGTCATTAGCTTTCCATGAGATAATATTGTACCTACCTCATGAGAAATCCACACAGATAAAAGTTGGCGCACATCAGCAGTTGTCTCGGCCAGTAATTGTCTTCGCACACTGCGTTGAAACCTGACTCCACAATTGC